TTTTCAGAGACTAAACTCACAATAAAGAGATAGTGATGTTCTTGTTGTTCATTGATAAGGTGTCAACATGTCAGAATGGAGATTAAGAGGATGGACCAAAAAGCCATCTGCACAACAAAGCAGGAAGCCAGCTTGTTGAATTCAGTCTGTTGTGAAGAGTATCTACCTACGTTTTGCAAAACCAAGTATAAAGATTTATCGAATTGTTTGGAGAATAAAGATTGTTTTGTTTTCTGCTTTAACAGTCATGGATCATGCCCAGTTTCAGACGGATCTTTGCCGCAAATCAGCTTTATAGGTCTTAAGTCTGGAGCCGCCTTTCCACTTATGGAGTCTCGTTATGCTGCAGAAATGTTCCGTGACAAAAGAATGCCCCACATAAAGTGACAATGAAGGTATGTGTTGCGTGTGATCCAAGGAACGTGCCATTTCTCCTTGTTTGGACAGCGCGTTGTCGCAGCAACTTGATGGGATTTTGTCGTGTCCTTATCGGGACACAAAGGCATCGCATGGCCTCAAAGACAAAACAGGGAAAGTATGAAAGATATCTGAGCTCAGACATTGTCCGTGTCCAGCAAGGGGAAGACATTTTAAGTAGTCATGTTTTGTTATTAGAACAGGATGTGCTGCCGATGGAATTTAATGTCCTCATAAAACCCACAAGAGACATTTATGGAAAAACAATAAACAAGGAGAGAGATATGTGGATGCTGGTGAAGCGGGAGAATTTACGGAAGGAGGGAAACCTCTCACATTGGTTTTAGAGGGAGATATATTTGTATATACTGTGACACAGTTAAGGCCTTTTAAGAATGACACCATGCTTAACAACACTGGGATTGGCAGTCAGCTTCAGGACCATTACTTTAAGTCCGAATGGGAATTATCGATCTACATGAAGTCTGATCTAAAGGAAGGACTAACATTGCATTAATTTGGACCACCATTGAGAAGCCAGTGATTGATCTTGTTGCTGTTTTGGTGATTTCTTGCTGGTTTGTCAAGGTTATAAGCTTTAAGCATCCTGAGGCTGCTTTAAGTCCATGTGATGCATCTTTTTAGTTTTTACTAGGACGTTATTTAATGTCCTGTTGAGATATGAAGCAATCTATTTATATTACATACAACTTCTGAACATGTTCTCCCCGACTGAGACATATAAAACATCAGTGATGATGACCCATGCCGGTAATGACAGATTCAAACAGAACTGAAGTGGAGGACAGAGCAACTCAACCAGCGGATACACTTCCCTTTATCTCGGTGAGATTCAGAAGCAGGTATTCAATAACACAAACAAGAGCAACAGATGGCGACCTGAAGGAAAATATCACACCGAGATCTTCTTACACTGTTGTATAATCAGTATAACAAGTCCAGTACTTTCCTTAAAAGCTTTTCTTCACAACTGTTGGATCATATCAATTACCTTTGTAACTGATTTAGCCAGCACCACCACATCAGCGCTCTGCTAGCCTCATGGTAAAAGTCCATACTACAAACTGCAGCTGGGGGTCTTTGTTCCTCGTGTCTCTCTCTACACTAACTGTCGATGGAAAATACCCGAGATAATCTAATAAAAAAACACTGAAAAAATCACAGGTGTCCTCAAATAGCAGCAGGAGTGGCACTGCGGCATCAAGGTTCCAGGTTCTTTATTGTCAAACTAACAGCTACAGAGTAATTATGTCGTTGAAAATCTTAGGTCACAGGCTTCTCCAACAATGCAACACAATAATACAGATAAGCAGACAATATTAAAACAATATTAAAATATACTATATTAAAAGTAATACAAAAAGAAAAATAGTCAAATCATTCCTGATTTGTCAGCAGAGCTGCATTGACAAGTCGTTAGAACATTGATCGGCAACTATTTTGATGATAGATTTAAAGTTAACGTACATTTTTTTACGCAGAAATTTCAGCTGTTTTGACAAATATGGAGGTGTCATGCTTTTTCTGGACTGACAAAACAAGACGGGTAAACATCTTGATGTAAACATCAACTTGGACTCTCTATTGTTTTAAACTGTATAGACTAATATAGAAAATAAATAATGAAAATAATTGCTTTGCAGTCCTAATATAAGGCATTTTTTACTGATTGTAAAAAATGACCAGCAGTGTTTCCCCTACCATTGTCTTGGAGGGGCACTGCGCCCCGCCAATGGAGCCCCGCGCCCCCCCTGAAATTCAAGGTTTAAAAAAAAAAGATTTTTTAAAATAATTTTTTTTTTATATATAGATATAACACCAAATCGCAACTAATCTNAAATTGCAAATAATCTATGTCTACTGTCACTTTTCGCATTGAACATGTGCTCTTTTATTAAATAAACTAAACGCTCTCATTTTAAGTTGAGTTTAGTGTTTTTGACCCTAAGAAACAGATGCATCAATCCATCCATCCATCTTCTCCCGCTTATCCGTGGTCGGGTCGCGGAGGTATCAGTTCCAGCAGAGAGCCCCNTAGACGCTGCGCCCTGCCCACTCTGTTGCCAGATTTGAGAGAAATAAGCAACCAGGTCTATGAAAACAAGCCCCAAAGAAGCAACACATACATGATGTTGTGTCATTTGAAACCAAAACTAAGGCCTCAGGATGCCTTTAAGACTTGAACATGGTCATTTTTGTTTTGTAACATTAAATTATAAAAAAAATAAAATAAAATCCCGATCCCCGATCACGTGATCGGATCGGGACATCTCTAATTGACCCTCAAACTGAGTTATACCACAACCTGTTTCAAGTCTCCCCTCACAAGTCTGGTTTTATCTGAATGATCTGAACCACTGATCTGGAAGAAGAACATAAGCTGAACCTGGCAGCGTTTTAACAAACTCCAACCACCTTTGATATAGGCTGCAAGAAACATTATTTTGACCATGTTATGTTTTCTGTTGAATCACTCAACCATTAGGTCAATATGGCATTTTCGATGTCTCCAAATGTCTTGTTTTATCCGACAGACAATTTGAAATCCTACACTATTCAATTTGAAATGATTATATAATCAAATAAATGGAGAGAAACTGACATTTAAGAAGCTGAGACCAGACAATGTTTGACATTTTGGCCTGATAAATGATTCTATCCTTTATCAGAGTTGTTATTGACTGATGTTAAATGTCAATCAATTTATCAAAAATAAACGTTTGTATGGCTGTAGTTCAGATAATGTGAAAGAAACCTGACAGACAGGAGTTTCTCTCAGGTTAAGTGTGAGAGAGGAGTCAGACCTTGTACAGGTTTATTCAGAGACATGAAATGAATCAACAGTCTGAACTCTATCAGAAGCTTCACAAAACCAACATAAAGACTTCAGAATTAAGTGTTTTTTTAAACTCCATGTAACCCGTCACACACAAAAGCACCCTTTTTGGCTCGTCAATAGTTCGACTATACACAGATTTCACTTGTGTGTGTCGAGTCTGGTTCTGCTTATTAAATGGCTTTTGCCAAAGTGCTCTATCAATAGTTCGGTTTAGCCCTGCTTCAAATTAAAAGTTGTCATCGTTTTTTCAAGATATCATACCATCACAGTTTTTCTTTATTTGTTTGTCCTTGGGTCCCTTGAAAGGCTTTATCCAAAAGATATTGAAGTGACTGTTATTTTGTATATATTGATTGTTGTGCTTTTACTTATGTCTGAATGTGTGCATATGTATAAATGTGTCTGTTGATGGTGTATATATAGGATATACACATTTGTATACATATTAGGGATCGATCGATATTGCTTTTTCAAGGCCGATACCGATACCGATTATTAGTAATCAAGGAGACCGATAACCGATATTTGGAACCGATATACATTTGCAGTAAAATCTGAAAATCTTGGTGCCAAAATGTAGAATAACACAAACTCCAACACAACTTCTTTGAAATGCATTTAAGCATATATTATGTTCAATGAACTTTTAAACATCTTACAACTGGTTTCCTTTTTTTTAGTGCAGCCATCTGCAATGAGTTAAGAGAGACAGAGAGTTAAAAGTGGGGCTGCAGGCTGACATGCTTAACTAACAATAATGCTTAATTTATTATATCAAAACAATGCCTGTCTATCAAGCATAAAATCCCAATAAGCTGCTAGCAACTGCAAAACACTAGTGCTAGCTAATGTTTAGCAAACAATTAAAAGTGAGGCTATTACAGTAGACCTAACGTTAGTCTAGTAGCCTCACTTCTAATATGTTGCTAAACATTTGCTAGATACATGTTGGCTAGCTAATGATCTTCACATATCAACCTGAAAAACTGCGACTGACTTCCCGCGTCCCTGTGTAACTGGGAAACTGATAGAATTGGATCATAAAATCGTTGTGTTTTTGCAACTTCAGCATAGGGGATTGGGATGTTTATTGAACTTCGGCTTTCAACTGATTTACCTTCTAAACACATGTATGGCTCTGCCGCTCAGCGCTGCTGCATGCCTCTGTCTGTGTCTGCGTTCTTCGCACCTGCCTGTAATCTGAGAAGGTCCCGCCTCTCTGGCTGGCTCCCGCCCGGAAAATCTTCAGTGTTGATTGACACTTCAGTAATAGCCTATCAGATAGCGCTGTGGGCGGGACATTGCTCGTGTACAGAGGGTGGTGACTGCAGCCAGAGAAACGGCCGCATCAGAGCCAAAGTTTTATCGGCAATTTGATAAAACAAAGGCCGATACCGATAATCGGTCAAATGCGGAATATCGGCCAGGCCGATAATCGGTCGACCCCTAATACATATATTAGTATTTGTTGTATTCCGGATTGTGGGAAACGGTATTTTGAACTCTTTGTCTGTACACACAAACTGAAAGACAATACATTTGACTTTGATACAAATGTAATCTATTATTATTATTATGGAGATATGATCTGTGTCCTGTGGGTATTGTTCACAGTATTGACTGTTACATGTCCAATATGTGTAATATGTAATGTAAAGCGCTTTGAGCACTTGAAAAAGCGCTGTAATAAAAAATGTAATGACTTCATATTATTATGACTGACCTGCAGCACAGAGTGTCCCTGGGGGCTGTTCTCCTGAAGCTCCGCCTCGTAGTGACTCCTCTCGAACTTTGGTGCGTTGTCGTTCTGGTCGGTGACGGTCACCCTCAACAAGGCACTGCTCGCCCTCGGCGGTTCCCCTCCGTCCACCACGCGGATGTTCAGGTCGTACGAGTCCTTCATCTCGCGGTCCAGATTACCCATGACCACCAGCTGTGGTAACTTCTCATCCGAATCCAAAGCCACCTGAAGGCTGAAGAGCTGGTCTGCGTCCGGTCCGGTGCTCAGAGTATACTCCGCCACCCCGTTGTGTCCAGAGTCTCTATCGTTGGCCATGGGGATGGAGAAGAGGGCGCCGATGTGTGTGTTTTCGGGGATGGAGAGGGTGAGGATGGGCGAGGAGAACTGCGGCGTGTTATCGTTGATGTCCAAAACCTCGATGCGCCCCTCGATCAGCCGTGGTCCCGATCCGAGACCGTTCACCATATCTGTGATCGACACCTCGAACTCCAGGAAGCATTTGTCTTCTTCGAACAGGTTGCGGCAGTCCTTCAACGTCTCGCGGTCGATGGGGATCTCGGTGGTGTAGATGTCGCCGGATTTTCCGTCCACTCGTAGGTACGGCGATCCCACTTCCAGTTTGTAAAGGTGTCCGGTGTCGGGAAGACCCCGGTCCGACGCCAGGCTGCCGATCAGCGTGTTGGGCGGCTGCTCTTCAGGAACTCGGTACAGGATGTCGGTGGGCGAGGCGCCGCAGGAAACCAGCAGGACGACCGAAAAGAAGATCAGAACTTCCCGCCTCAACGCCGCCATGTCTCCACCCGACAGCACCGATCTGAAAGAGACAGAGAAAGAAACAGATGAGCGACAACACCCTTGACTTCCTGTTTGGTAGGATGGAGTAGTTCTTAAACTTAAATTAAAGCCAAATGAACAATAATGTCATTTCGACTAACATACTGTACCACTGGAAAATGGCAACCAATCAACCAAACAAAGCAACAAATAAATGAATTTGTTTAGGTGTTGATTGTTATGTAGGGTTGTTAGGGTTCTCCTTTTGAGATGAATGTACTTTTAGGCGTGGTCTGCAATCGTCCAAACGCCAGAAAATAAACAACATGTGTCAGATGTCTGATGTATCTCACTAAAAGACTGTCCAATTCATCTGGGCTGTTATTTGTTATTTTTTAGGGATGTTTGTGTGAGGAAGTTTCAGGCCGTGTTGTCTTGTGATTGGCTGCGTGCGGTGTGCAGAAAGCAGCTGAGCGGCTCTGACTGATGACTTCCTCGTGCTGCCGCTCTGACAGGAAGACAAACCGAGCACTGCCGCTGCTAACGGCGACACTTCCCCCAAAAAATACTGATGAGTTGCAGAAAGAAGAAACAGTACACCTCAAAGTCTTTGAGACTTCATGAAGGATGAGAAAGTCTTAGAACTCCAAGAACTAGGAGGACGAAACATATTGTTCTCTAGCTTTCAGCAAATCAGTTTAATCTGTCAGCACTTCCCCGTGGAACAACTGTAAACAAACAACCTTAAATGGGTGTTTACCAATCAGATGCTTTGGCCATAAGCCCCAGCTGAATGAAATGTAATGCACTTTTGGGTTTCTTTGTGAATAAAAGACTCCTTTTTGAGCATATTTGTGGTTTCTTATGTACAAACACAAATAAGATAAGACAAGACTTTATTTATCCCGAAGGAAATTGTTGTGCCAGAGTAACAAAATACAATAAACACAATAAACACAGCAGCAAAAAGAGCAATTAAACATCCACAGACAACATGAAACGTAGAAACATAGAGAGTCACACAATCAATGCAATTATTAATAGCAGTGTTTAGTAGTTATAGTGCAAAAATCAAAACGTAGATGTACAGATAAATGCGGTTGTGTTCGCTTTACATTACAGCTTTTTCCTAATTTATCTGTAAAAGAAAGCTCTGACCATTAGCCGATAAGGTTAACTTTTTACTCGATCTTTTAATTACATGTCATGGTTCTCTTGAGCATAATAAACATGCTAACCATGCACACTTTAGAAGACGATAAGATAGTTAATTAAAACGTCAATAATCTCGACTAATTAGATAAACATCAAACATTAACGACCCAGGACGAGCTACTAAACAGACCTATTCAGGCGTTAGTGTGGTTGCTTTAAGAAGACCTGATTACGTGGACGATACTGAAATAAAGGGACCCACAGAGGACAGGGAAACCCTCTAAAACCTGATGGCTTGATTTGGAAAGAAAGCACATTTCAAACACTGCATTATGTTTCCTGAAAACACTGAATTCGTGCCAGCATTGGACGAATGAAGCTCGTCAGACACGGTCAAGGAAGAGTTGAATCTTCATCAAACATAATATTTCAATACTTACGTCCCTAATATTAGCAGACAGTCGTTGCATTAGAGGACATTCAGCTCTTTAATGTGTGTTTTAAAGTGGCGTGATCCAGTGCACAGTAACGCGGGTCAGCAGTGTTTCGCCCTCAGGCTTGATGTGAGTAAATCAGGACAAAACTGACTCATCAGACGAATGTGTGTGTGTGGCTGCTTCAGTGCCGACTTATAAGTGCTTCGTATGAAACCAGAGTGTGTGTAAACCAGATCAGACACGAAGCTATTTGACCATCAGCACGACATGAAAGTGTAATAATTAAAAGTGTATTTAATCTATAGTGTTGTTACTTGTAGCGCTGCACGATTTGGAGAAATGTGCGATTATATCTTCATATTCCTAAGTACCTCACAGCGTTTAAGGTCTTGAAAGGTCACCTTTTTAGACTTTAAGATTGTTTTTTTGTAATTATATTTATGTTTAAATACACTCTTTTTGCATTAGAATGTTTACTAGTTCATTTTTCTGAGTGTTTTGGGAACTCGGTTTGGAAGGTGCTGTAATTAACGCTTATTATTGTTGATATACGAGAAATCAGTAGTCTTAAGCACATTGTTGTTATCTGTTTCAGCTAATGTATAACTTTAAATGTCATTTTGAGTAAAGTATAAGAACTCATCTTTGCTACAAACTCAATGTAAGGCATAAAACTGAATTTAAAAATGTATATGAGACGATGCAAAGCCATCAATTCAGATATTCTTTATCCGACTGTCATTAAGCACACACACACACGCACGCACGCACACACACACACACGCACGCACGCACACACACACACACACTGACTTTTCACCTGCTGTCTGGTGTTCATAATGTTATTTTTTTCAGATATAAACTCTTTCTTCCCATTTCTATTCTTTTCTCGCCCTCTGCACTTTTTTTCTTGGCAGCAATTCCTCTCAGACACACTCAGTGTTTCGTGATGGAGGAGTTTCTCGGCTGCGGGTCGACCAGGTTAATCTGGAGAGCCTTTTTTTGTTCTGCTCACGTCCTTGATTTGAAGGAACACACACACACACACACACACACACACACACACACACACACACACACACACACACACACACACACACACGGACTAGAATGCTGAACAGGAAGCAGGAAATCATCCTATTCCACCTAAAACCACTGTAGCGCTGTTAAAACTGTGTGTACTGTGTGTGTGTGTGTGTGTGTGTGTGTGTGTGTGTGTGTGTGTGTGTGTGTGTGTGTGTGTGTGTGTGTGTGTGTTGTATTGTGAGCCTGTTGAGTCTCCCGCTGTGTGAGAGGGCCTTGCAGAGATTCATTCAGTGAAATAAAATGAACTCCTTCAGAGGCTTCACAAAACCAGCATAAAGACTTCTCAATAAAGTTATTTGAACTCCAAACGACGTGAAGCACCATCCTGTGTTCGAGTAATGTGCTATACTTTATACAGATAACATGTGGTAAATGTGTGTATAGAGTCGGGTTAAAGCTTGTTAAAAGACTGATTTTTACACAAAGTACGGTCTAGACCTGCACAATATGAAAATATGTCATGTTTATTAATGTATACAAAATTAAAGGGTGACATGAGTTCCCTTCCTGAAATGCCTTTGTTTCACACTCAGGTTCCGTTTGTCTAGCACTCCAACACATAGTACATGATAGGCTAAGGGGCGGGACAACTCTAGGCGGTTGACCAATCACAACAGAGCCAGCCAGCTAACCAATCAGAAGAGACTGGGCTCTGGTTTCAGACAGAGGGTGAAAAGAGGTGCTGCAGCACAGACAGTATGAGAACAATACAGAGCTTTTTGAACATTAAAGCATGAAGACATGTAGAGACACTACATACTGATATACACCTGAACATCAGCAGGAGAGGACTCTTTAAAGTAGAGACACTACATACTGATATACACCTGAACATCAGCAGGAGAGGACTCTTTAAAGTAGAGACACTACATACTGACACCTGAACATCAGCAGGAGAGGACTCTTTAAAGTAGAGACACCACATACTGATATACACCTGAACATCAGCAGGAGAGGACTCTTTAAAGTAGAGACACTACATACTGATATACACCTGAACATCAGCAGGAGAGGACTCTTTAAAGTAGAGACACTACATACTGATATACACCTGAACATCAGCAGGAGAGGACTCTTTAAAGTAGAGACACTACATACTGATATACACCTGAACATCAGCAGGAGAGGACTCTTTAAAGTAGAGACACTACATACTGATATACACCTGAACATCAGCAGGAGAGGACTCTTTAAAGTAGAGACACTACATACTGATATACACCTGAACATCAGCAGGAGAGGACTCTTTAAAGTAGAGATTCTACATACTGATATACACCTTATATGAATAGGAGACAGCTTTCAATAGTTGACAGAGGAAACATTTGGTGTTAACAGTATCAAAAGTGCAAGGATCCAAAGCATTTCTACTGCTGTTTGAGAAAATTGAAAAAAAATAAAATCTGTATTCCTTTTTATTAGTAAGAACAACATAAAGTACGAACTCATGACATGAAATAAAGTGTCTTTATATGATATTCCAATAAAAGAGTTCATAAACGAGTGTCTATAGACGATTGTTATTCATCTTGCAATGTTCCAAAAAAGACATTCAGTTTATAATGAGAAGAGAAAGAGAGAAACAAGCTAAACAAATTATCAAAAAGTTCAGAGGCTAAAGGCTGTTGTTGCTTTTGTCCAGTTGTTCTTGTGAGTGTTTGCTCCCCTGCTGTGACACACACACACACACACACACACACACACACACACACACACACACACACACACACACACACACACACACACACACACACACACACACACACACACACACACACACACACACACACACACACACACACATCTAATGACCCCTGTTTAAATGGGAATTAGTGTGTTTAGGTGTGTGGGGGTTGTTGTGTTTGCCAGTGTGACTGTGCATGTGAATACCCCTTTGTGTGTGTGTGTGTGTGTGTGTGTGTGTGTGTGTGTGTGTGTGTGTGTGTGTGTGTGTGTGTAACAGTGAAAAAGTATTTGTGTGTTTCTTTTAGCACATATTTCCGCAGAACTGCCAAATACCCACTAACCAGCGACCTCTGACCTCCGCCCCGCGGCATTTTCACACGTTACTGTGGAAACGGGACTGAAACAAGAGGGTTTACTGGCCGACGACCAGACGGCCAACAATGTCCCGAACAACAGGGAGTGTGTCCGAACAAAACTAAACAATACGTCTTTTACATCAGAGTTTTGCTTTCAGTGTTCCAGTTTAAAACCATTTGTATATTTCCTTGGTGAGTTATATCTAATATAATCATTTTGTTGTTTAACAGCAACGGAAAAACATCCAATACCAACTTTCGGTACTTGGATTCTCGACAATCAGGGTTAACGTGTTTTAAACCTCAGTAAAGTGATCTAA